GTCCTCCCTGTAGGTGTGTCCACGGATGACGCAGGTTCCATGTGATATTCCATGTCTCTTAAATGTCTCCAAAAACTGGTTTATTTAAGTCGCCATATGAGTGTTTTTCAAAACTGATTGTTTTATCGACATTGTGAAACATACAACAGTATGGAAAACAGCTTCTTCTTTATGCGTAAAACGACATTTCGGTGTAGTTTTTTTACACCGTTTTCAAGCTGAAAGCGTGACGGACCCGTGTTCTAGATGCAAAAAGATTATTTCTGAATCTTGTATATACTCCAACAGTTATTAGAAAAGTATTTCTACCAGTGTTTTCTTACTTTTATACAGTCCCTTGTTGAATGTTCTGGTCGAGTCAAGTGAGGTTGGGTAATCTTGTGGTTTATGTGATTGATAGTCACGTCGAATATTGTTGGAATACTTCTAAAAGCGGCATACTCCCTATGTGCCGTAAAACAGCATTCAATCAGTCACTTAGGTTTTGTTGGTGTAAGTTGGGCTCCTGGTTGCGCTCAAACTGTATCCATGGACAGCCGTCTTGACTTCATTGTCAAAGCTAACCACATTAAATTCGGTATCATTAAATACAGTTGTGGTCTTATTTACTTACTCCGTCGACAGTTTGTAGATTGTTTGTTCCTTAAACACTGAAACTTCCGATTAAGACAAATAATCATAGGCGGATCCAGAGGGGTGCAAGGGGGTGCACCACTTTGTCCTGAAAGTTTATGACCATTGAAACTATCGTTAAAACGGGTGAAAATGAACTGTGCACACACACCCACCCTTTCTCAAAATGCTGTATCCGCCCCTGAAAATAACAGTTATGCATTTGTACAGATACTGTTACAACGTACTGAACGTCATGTAATTAGATGAAAAATGCACTGTATCACACGTGACGTTATATTAAATAGGTCATCGATACCACGAATCAATAAACAGATGACTTGGCCATTACAAGCCCAACAACACATCTGTATGTGAAGAAGTGCGCCGTGTATTGCGCATACGATCATACAGATAACACCAGTTTATTGCAAAGCACCTACTCCATGTGGCGGCGTTTTGCCCGCCAGCTGTCAACTATTAAGGAAATCTTCGTATACGATGACGTTGACGGGACAGGGTGAGGCTGCAGAAGTCGTACTTTCTACCGTATTTGATATTTTAATAGAATTTCCTAAGGCTTAATTCCCTAAATATATCATACATGCTTTACGTACGAGGTTTGAACATCCAATGGCTGATTTGTCTTAATACCCGGATGTGGAAGTATGTATGTATCGAGGTTTCTCCTTACGTTGACACGTTAACACTTCAGGGAATAGTAAGGTGAATTAATCTTTTTTTTCTACTTTTACCACATACGTATTTCCGTCATACCAAGTTCTCAGTTTTACATTTTGTCCTGTATATAACTATTCTACATGTGTTTTTATTAATACAAATTGTGTGTGCAATTTACCACTTAATGGTCACATAGTTCAACAATAGTCGTTTCACCAGTTATACGCCCGTATCATTGTAAGGTTACATTTAATATTTTACATCATATGCTTAAGGTATTTCAATTACTTTAAATAAATAACGTTACCATTTTGAAAACATATATTATAACTCGTGTACAATTTTCAAATATTTATCGAGTGGGGATTTGGGGTTCCCAGTAACGTATACTGGTCTTAAGAGGAGACTAAGTGGATCGGGTGGTCAGGCTAGATGCTTATAATATCAATCACTGGATTGCCTGGTCCAAGCTTCCTGTACATTTTCAGGAGTATTGTTGCGTGCGGCGTTAAGCGATAACAAACGTAAACAAACATGGAATAAGTGTCGTCCCCGTTTTGACATTACTACTGCTCTTTCAAACCCCTTCACGGTGCAGGTACAAAGGACACCCGCCCTTACCGTAGAAGGAGTGAGCTGGTGACTCCAGCTGTCCACCCTTACAATGGTAGCTCGCCCGCATTTCTCTCACATTCACATATATATACGCAGACAATGTTAAACCCTCGTGTATATTTAACACCGGGCAAGCCCTGGCAGCATTGTGGGTGGGAGGACACCAGATATTGCTTCTCACATTGTATCCACGTAGGGAATCGATTCCTGGTCTAACGAGTGAACGCTCTAACCCACATGACTACACCACTGCACCCGGGGAGAATAGTGTCACTTATACGCCAGGCTCGGGTAACAGTACTACGTCAACATGACGTGTCGCTATTCTTATATCAGAAAACACATTGTCAACGATTAGCTTTCAAAACTACTGTTGCTTGTTTTGAGTGAGTGAGTGAGTTTAGTTTTAAGCCGCTTTTAGCAATATTCCAGCAATATCACAGCGGGGACACCATAAATGAGCTCCACAAATTGTACCCATGGGGGAAATCGAACCCGGTGCTTGTTGTGAACGCTACACGTATGTAAAAGGTTGACATCAAAGTAATATTTCTTCCGGAAAAAAATGATTTTGTAATTCATGTTTCACGATTTCATCTGTGGGGTCTCCGGTTACTAAGCAACCCATTATATTTGTTAAAATTTAAAGCTATTTTCATTAACAAACCCGTAAAAAACATCATGTCACGGACGTTCTGAGAGACTTTGGGTGAATCACCGCTGAGGTACTGTGTAGTAGGGTGCACGTGACTATTGAGGGCGAAACAACTATTGCTAATAGCGATAGTCTATTGGAACATACTATTGCGATAGCGATGGTCTATTGGAACATACTATTGAGATAGCGATAGTCTATTGGAACATACTATTGCGATAGCGATGGTCTATTGAACATACTATTGCGATAGCGATAGTCTATTGGAACATACTATTGCGATAGCGATGGTCTATTGGAACATACTATTGCGATAGCGATGGTCTATTGGAACATACTATTGCGATAGCGATACTCTATTGGAACATACTATTGCGATAGCGATTGGAACATACTATTGCGATAGCGATAGTCTATTGGAACATACTATTGCGATAGCGATGGTCTATTGGAACATACTATTGCGATAGCGATATTGGTCCGATATTGGAACATACTATTGCGATAGCGATGGTCTATTGGAACATACTATTGCGATAGCGATGGTCTATTGGAACATACTATTGCGATAGCGATGGTCTATTGGAACATACTATTGCGATAGCGATGGTCTATTGGAACATACTATTGCGATAGCGATGGTCTATTGGAACATACTATTGCGATAGCGATAGTCTATTGGAACATACTATTGCGATAGCGATGGGAACATACTATTGCGATAGCGATGGTCTATTGTTTATTGGAACATACTATTGCGATAGCGATGGTCTATTGGAACATACTATTGCGATAGCGATAGTCTATTGGAACATACTATTGCGATAGCGATAGTTTATTGGAACATACTATTGCGATAGCGATAGTCTATTGGAACATACTATTGCGATAGAGATAGTTTATTGCGACCAACTCATGCAATACTATTGCAATAGTTTCTCTCTCCTTGAATTGTTTCATTTGAAGTCATTCCCCAAACGAATGTATAGTTCATATGAAATAAAACATAAACTCAATGAAGCTGCAAGTCTGCACCTAACATCCTGTATTTTGCGCTGCGCATTTATCAATTACTAAACTATCGATAGTCACACATACTATCGATGAATCAATGGTTTTTAGTTTCTACGATCCATTAATTGTTATCGGAGACTCAACAATTGCAATCCATCGATAGTTCAAAGCATCGATACAGCCCTACTGTGTAGTATACACGTAGTGAGGGAGAGGGAACGTGGGAGGGCCTCGCCTGTCTTTAACTACCATTCACACTGTCGTCCCGAGCCTTTCTTACATACCCTGCTAAATACCCTGGCATATATGTCTGTTTGTGTCATTGTAACGATGAAAACCACCATTCACCTCTGTACTAGGGAGTGTTGTTGTTGCCAGGTCGACACGGATCTGTATTGAGGGAACATAACTTACGAGTAGCCATTAATCACAGTGTACATAATACAATTTGTTAGTAGGTTCATTCACGTTGTTTGTTGTACTATAAACAGGTACGAGTACCAGGGTGCACCGAACAGTCCCTTTAAAGACCATATCCCACGGACTTTCTACAACTGTGTCAGTAAACTGAGGTCGCTACCCCGCTCTTGGAACGCGGGGTTCGTGAGTGTATCCAGGGGGTATTCGTGGGTGTATCCAGGGTGTGCTCGTTGCTCAGGAGTGTGTTACTGAAATAAAATCGAAATAGTACTCAACATTTTTTTTAAAAAAAGAACAGATGTCCGTAAAAACTCCTTTTTATTTCTTATCAATTTCAAACCGGCCCTTTTCTCAATGTTTATAGGATCAGTGTTTCAGGGTTAGCTCTAATAAGCAATGATAATTATTACGATGGTTTGGCTGATTTAGGGGTGTTGTTGATAGATGTGGGTGGCTAAGAGGGACATCAAAAATTTAATTTGCATCTTCCTTGCCCGAAACGCATATTTTTATTTATATACGTGTCGTATAGGTGACGAGTTTCACCATCCAAACAACCTTATTTGTGAATTATGTTCAGATAAACACGTTCGTTTAAAATCTCATCAACTCGTGGTTTTCACCAGCTGATATTTGCTGGACGTCAGAATTCCTCCAGATACATATCTCACCGCAAAGTTCATATTTTTCGGTTCACTAGACAATCGGTTTAAAATATCCCATAATTTAGTATATTGGTATTTGAAGCTGATAACATCGGGGCCCGAAACAGGTAAGCGGTGTGGCGTGAAGCTTGTCTCCGGCCCTGACTGGCTCGCGCTGTATATACGACGGCTTTGTGTGATAGCATTTGTAGCAAGCGCTGTCCGCTCTGTTTGCTTGCATCCTAACTCCCGTCAGAGCGTGTCCCGGAGCGACACCTATCAAACGACCAGACTGCTGTAACTGTCAGGAACAGCTCCTTGCTCCTCACGACTGACGGCCTCAATTAAATCTCTTACAGGACCAGAGAGGCGCGCGCCGGGAGTGACGTCACAAGCTCTAGCCTAGTTAACGGAAAACATCGTGGTGCAACCAGAATCCTTCTTCCGACCGAGGACTTGCGAGGTAGGTTTGTTTGCCTTTCTCACTACCGTAGGTAACTGACAGTGAGTTTCGTACTATGTACAACAATTTTGCCTACAAATCAAACCTTTTAGATTTTTATTTCAATTATATTATTTCAGTTATGCATATATGCCTGTTGATGTTCATTGATTGAAATATTGTTGTACAAACTGAAGTATGACTCTGATTTCGATTGCATGATGTTTCATAATACAACAATGTTAAGGAATGCCGATATAGTCAATGTGTTAAAAGGTTATTTGAATTGGCCATCATGTTTTCATAATATTTTGAATATTTATTGATTGGATTCATTTATGATTTACAGTTTAGTTTGTACAATTTAATCTAATCAACCACATAATGATTTCTTTTACAAACTGTTGTGTAGGTTTATGTATGTAATGACAAAATTAATACGTTACTTGTAAGGCACTTAATGTACGGCGAAATGTGTTGTATAGTTGCCATAATCCCCTAAAGTAAACTCTACAAAAAGCAGGCATTAATCTTGACTAAATGATAAATAAACATGCGACATACCACAGATTTTGAGATTACTCTATGATAATCTTATTAATAGAGGGATTAGTCGACTTAGTGAAGCCTAGACCGTGACGAAGAGTTCGACACATGTGACGAGCGACATTCGTAACTTGTAAGAACTAGACAATCTCTTCCGACTGATTATGCTTTGACTGACATGTGATTATCGAAGATTAATCAGACTTGGCTAACATACCTAAGTTACATTCCCTGTAGAAGTCTAGTGAAGCGGTTGACTTAGGTACAATTACAACTAGGTCGGAAGTCAAGTAGATGTATGTTTTGGGCCGTTTACTTGACGAGGTGAAATTGGACACGCCTGCCGCACGCGGACGTCGGAGAAAGCAGTGCTGCTGACGTCATGTCCTTTGTATGCTTTGTGTTAAAGCTGACGTGTGTGTCGTTTTACTTTCATTTCCCGAAACGAATTATTACACGCACTACGTGTGTCTTTTTCCGACTCGTGATGAGGTTGTCAAACGGAAATGTCTTCCTGGTTTAATCAGGCAAAAACTGAACGTTAATCAATTGCAGGAAGTGCAAATACCATCTACGGCATGCTTGAAGGAATTGCTTTGTAGAAACCAGCAGGAATGTTTGCAAACCTATAGAGCTCTATACAACTGTTGATTTAACCATAGCCTGACAGCACACAGTCCTGCCTGATAAGTTTTAGAAGAAACCGGGATTATAATCTGGATATATGCAAAATAAATAATCATATGTTTTGAATTATTACTTTGATTCATATTGTATGCTATGGAGGCAAAGTAAATAAAACATGTCCACCTGCGTCACAGCTGTGAAATATCATTGCATCATAACGTTGCGTGTCTCGAAGGACATATCGTTCAATAAAATAGAGTGGGTGTGATGTCTTAATCGAAGACTCTCGGCAGATGTCGTTAAAACGATAACATTTGTACCGTTAATTTTGTGTTAACATCCAAACTGTGGCCAGATCGACAGTGGGGAGATAGATCTTGCCGTGACTCCTTGTTTTCCTGATTTAGATATTGACAGGTGCTCTTCATTTCTATATGATATGTGTCGATATGTTCTATTATCGTCCCCGGATACATCTGCAGCAAGCACATAAAAGATACCAATCGTAAGAAAAGCACAAAACTCCCACGCATTAGTTGAAACAGCTTGACTGCGTGCATGTGCCTTTCAATGAAATGTGTCAGGATATGCAAGTAAGCTTAGCCTCTTTGGCAGTTACCCAAGTCTGCAGTTCATTTACGAAAATGACACGTGTTGATGATGTGGAACAGAGGTTCTCTCTCGAAACATACAAATATGTCTTATTGGGCTCCGTATTGTTAAAACCGAATTAGTTTGAAGATACTTATCATGGTGCGCCTCTATCTGATTACATGTGAAAGATGTCTGATTACATGTGAAAGATGTCTGATTACATGTGAAAGATGTCTGATTACATGTGAAAGATGTCTGATTACATGTGAAAGATGTCTGATTACATGTGAAAGATGTCTGATTACATGTGAAAGATGTCTGATTACATGTGAAAGATGCGATCACACGACTCCCGGGGGACGTTGAACTCAGTTTATTAAACTCCAGCTAATTATGCATGTGACTGTATGAATATGTAACACGATAACGGGAGGCAGATTTATCTTCCAATGTAACTGAGGCGACGTGACTGAGTGCTCTGGTGTCACTCTCGTTTCAGTACGTGACTTGAAGAAATAAGAATCAGCTCGAACTCCTTAAAACATGACTTGATGTATTACATCTAGGTCTGTGTCACTATAGTGTCTGTAATACCTTTGTTAAGTATTAACTAATTATAGCAATAACATAATCCAACTAATACGTTAATAACAATCACATCAAAAACAAATATGATTTATACGTAAACTAAAATACTAGTATATATTCTGATAATCACCATCAGCATGATAAAAGTTTCTAATTTTCTGTGAAAATATACTTTTATATTGTATATTTTTCAAATACTAGATCGCAAACAGGTGCTGAATATATTAAGCAGTAAAAGGCCCTTGTAATACATTACAGGCAAATTAAAGAGTTTAAAATTAGTTATGGCATCAAGAATATCGTTTTAATGCAACCAGTAACTTCACATCCGATGTATATTAGTCTTTTATAGATCCCTTCATGTAAAATTCCGTCTGATGCAAGTACTGACGTGTCCTAAAACCAGAGCACCTTGTCAGCCGCCATGGTTTAACTTCGGTTCACGACTACTTCAGTCTAGACATGTCAACTCTCTGACTAAACACCCCATCCTCTCTTTCAGATTTCATCAGCCGTCCACGATGTTGATGTCAAGTGTTTTTTGGATGATGCTGTCTTACCCTTTCACCGTCGTGATGACTTTCCTCAGCACTGTCGTCCTCACCGCAGTCGTCTACGTGAAGTCGCTCTTCAGACCCAAAGAATCAATTCCTAGACTGTACTTCCGGGACTCCGCCATGGCGCAACACATCATTGCCAAATGCACGTCACTTCGCCGACCAATGAGACTTCCGGTCTGGCTACAGAATGCGCATGTGCAGACACTTTGTGGCTTCTTTTTAAAACTTGTCAGAACTCAGTTCCGTAGGGAATATGTGCAGCTTGAAGATGACGGAGTTGTCGCCCTTGACTGGACAGCGACGTCACGGTATATGGGCAACGCTACACCTATCATCATCCTAGTGCCAGACCTCAACGGCGACGCTTCTAGTATGGCACAGTACTGCAACGTCTTTACCTCCAGAGGCTACCGCGCCGTCATCTTCAACCGTCGTGGTCATGGCGGGTCCTTCTTGACCAGTGCTGGACTCAAAGCCTACGGGTGCTGTTCGGATCTCCGCTGTGCCATACAATCTCTCCGTCACCGCTTTCCTGGATCCTCAATTGCCGGACTCGGGGCTGGAGCGGGCGCAGATCTTCTCATGTCCTACTTAGGGGAATTCGGATCTTCATCCCTTCTGTGCTCAGTCACGTGCATTTCACCAACATATGATTCCGAGGATGTGTACATGAACAAAATACCTAAACTATACGAAATGACATATCTAATGCATTTGAAAAAGATTCTGGGACGCTATTCTGAGAGTTTTTCTAAAGTTGTCGATGTGGATGCGGCACTCCGTGCGTGGAGCTTCAAGGACTATGATTCCCACGTGTACAGCAAGCTCGCCGGATATCCGGGGCTGGAAGAATACTGGGAAGAAAACTCGCCCATGCGAGATGTGGACGAGATTTCAGTTCCTGTTTTGTGTATTAACAGCATGGATGATCCCATCAGTGTTAAAGAAAATATTCCTTATGACTTGTTCAAATCTTCTCTCAATTTCTTCCTGGTCACAATGGAGAGAGGTGGACACTGTGGCTTCTACGAGAAAGCCACAGGGTCAGCATGGACAGTTAACCCGGCTCTGGACTTCATTGAATCCGTGTTCAGTTTCCCTTCAGCTATTCCGTCGAAGCAACGAATTGTTGGAGAAAGAGCATGGAATAGATGAATTACCTCCCTTGTCGCTGACGCAGCGTGATCTAGTCACGTGACACGACTCTTCCCGAGTCTTGTCGCAGCCGTTGAGCTCGAAATGGCTTCTGAGGAAGTGCTGACGAAGCCATGTTTGAAAGAACCGCAAACACCAAAGAAAGACCGTGAAATGCTCAGACATGGTTGAAGGCAGAGGAGTCAGAGATGGTGAAGGAGTTACCTACAGGACTGTTATCTGTTACACTCCAGCTGACGACGTTGTCAGTGACGTCATGAAGGTGATGACGTAAACTACAGAGGAACATTTGCTTGATCTGCTCGATGACATGGCTCCAATGGCCAGAACACACACCTTTGTATTTCGTTTCATGGGGTTAAATAGGAGAAAGTATTACAAAGTGTGTCTCAAATGACCAAAAGTTTCATCATATTTCGCGACATCGATGCCATCAAGAAAATTTGTTGATTTGAGATATAAATTGCAGTAACGCTTGGTTGCACCGAGATGATTGCTTTTACCACGCTACTATCCAGGCACAACGCTATAGTGGCCGTCTACGGTCTTGCAAGTACAGAATCACAGCAAGGAATTTGAACAAGGTCAATAAACAACTACAAATTACAACCGTTGACCTTCAGTGGATAGGTGTAATGTCAGGTCTGAGTGAGGAATGTTATTAGCCTAAAAGGCATTGTATTGAATAACAGCACCCATTTGACGATATAGCAGCTGTAGGCTTGCTTTTGGGTCGTCTGAAGAGAAACGAACAGGCCCTTGTTAGTGCTGAATTAGTCGCCTCCGACTGTAAATGATTTCAGAAAAGAAAATTCCATCAGATCTTATAGAATGTATCGGGGAATACGAAGGTATATATCAATCTCCGGGTCATGGTAACCATGGCAACATTTTACAACGTGTTCATGCTTAGATGATGCTTTGTAAACTGGTTTCGTGAAGTTACAAAGCAACTGTGCGGTATACTGTGACCCCGGTGCTCAAGGTGGCCTGTCTGAGGGGTATACACAGTCAGGCTGGCCCTGGTTACATGCGGTTACATTTTGTTACATTTATGTAAGTGATCTTATGATGTAACGTTCGCTGTTACTGCCGCAATGCTGACATTCCTGTGAACATGTTTATTTGTCTGTTATGTAAATATCTATAATAAATTATTATATTACATAATTTTATAATAAAAATGAATTGGATTATAAAGCTGGTTTGTGTTTATATATTGGTGATGTCTGTAAGGATTACCATGGTGCACACGTATACACTGTGTCTCTTGGCAGTAAGGTACCGTATGTATCACCACGTGCCTGTGTGTCTCTTGGCGGTAAGGTACCGTATGTATCACCACGTGCCTTTGTGTCTCTTGACGGTAAGGTACCGTTTGTATCACCACGTGCCTGTGTGTCTCTTGGTGGTAAGATACCGTATGTATCACCACGTGCCTTTGTGTCTCTTGACGGTAAGGTACCGTTTGTGTCACCACGTGCCTGTGTGTCTCTTGACGGTAAGGTACCGTTTGTATCACCACGTGCCTGTGTGTCTCTTGACGGTAAGGTACCGTTTGTATCACCACGTGCCTGTGTGTCTTTTGGCGGTAAGGTACCGTATGTATCACCACGTGCCTTTGTGTCTCTTGACGGTAAGGTACCGTTTGTATCACCACGTGCCTGTGTGTATTTGACTGTATAGTACCTCATGTATCACCACGTGCCCGTGTGTCTCTTGCCGGTAAGATACCGTATGTATCACCACGTGCCTGTGTGTATCTTGACGGTAAGGTACCGTTTGTATCACCACGTGCCTGTGTGTATCTTGACGGTAAGGTACAATATGTATCACCACGTGCCTGTGTGTTTCTTGGCGGTAAGATACCGTATGTATCACCACGTGCTTGTGTGTATCTTGGCGGTGAGATACCGTATGTATCACCACGTGCCTGTGTGTATCTTGGCGGTAAGGTACAATATGTATCACCACGTGCCTGTGTGTTTCTTGGCGGTAAGATACCGTATGTATCACCACGTGCTTGTGTGTATCTTGGCGGTGAGATACCGTATGTATCACCACGTGCCTGTGTGTATTGTGACGGTAAGGTACGGTATGTATCACCACGTGCCTGTGTGCCTCTTGGCGGTAAGATACGGTATGTATCACCACGTGCCTGTGTGTATCTTGACGGTAAGGTAACGTATGTATCACCACGTGCCTGTGTATCTCTTTGGCACGATACCGTTTATATCACCACGTGCCTGTGTCTTGGCGGTGAGATACCGTATGTATCACCACGTGCCTGTGTGTATCTTGACGGTGAGATACCGTATGTATCACCACGTGCCTTTGTGTATCTTGACGGTCAAGGATACCGTATGTATCACCACGTGCCTGTGTGTCTCTTGGCGGTAAGATACCGTATGTATCACCACGTGCCTGTGTGTCTCTTGGCGGTAAGATACCGTATGTATCACCACGTGCCTGTGTGTCTCTTGGCGGTAAGATACCGTATGTATCGCCACGTGCCTTTGTGTCTCTTGACGGTAAGGTAACGTATGTATCGCCACGTGCCTGTGTGTATCTTGACGGTAAGGTACCGTATGTATCACCACGTGCCTGTGTGTATCTTGGCGGTAAGGTACCGTATGTATCACCACGTGCCTGTGTGTCTCTTGGCGGTAAGATACCGTATGTATCACCACGTGCCTGTGTGTATCTTGGCGGTAAGATACCGTATGTATCGCCACGTGCCTGTGTGTATCTTGACGGTAAGGTACCGTATGTATCACCACGTGCCTGTGTGTCTCTTGGCGGTAAGGTACCGTATGTATCACCACGTGCCTGTGTGTCTCTTGGCGGTAAAATACCGTTTGTATCGCCACGTGCCTTTGTGTCTCTTGACGGTAAGGTACCGTATGTATCACCACGTGCCTGTGTGTCTCTTGACGGTAAGGTACCGTATGTATCACCACGTGCCTTTGTGTCTCTTGGCGGTAAGATACCGTATGTATCACCACGTGCCTGTGTGTCTCTTGGCGGTAAGATACCGTATGTAACCCTCACTCACTCACTCACTCACTTACTCTGTAGCGGAATGGATTGGACATCTTGCCGAAGAGAGGAAGGTCGATAAACCCAGAACAACTCTGGTGTGAGACGCTGCTCATACTTTTGATCTCTGGTTTGTCGGGTATAAGCTTGTTTATTTATAAGCTTTACAGAAAGATTACCAATATGCACAAGAAGGAAAGGTGTAATGTCAATTTGGCATTAGGTAATCCGGTAACCCGGATGGTGATACCCTCGCAGTCACTTTCGTCCTGTTAATGAAATATTTCTAAAACCCCTAAAGCTCCCACCCCTTCCCCAACTCACTCACTGACGCACTCGCTTTCTTAGTCACCTATCCATGCACTCACTCATTCACCCCCTCACACTAACCCATTCACCTGTCTTGAGGACACGTGGGTGTTCTCTTAAAATTAGCAGTCAAATGACTGCAGCAATTGCCTGAAACATGCCGTGTTCTGTCAACACCCTTCAAACCTGTGAAGTTGCGTTTCGCCAGTATTTACTGTAGGTAAGCATTGTCGTCCCACGCGCATCCTGGGTGGTGAGGCCAATCGTCACGTGGTACAGGGCGCAGAGTCTGGCCCAAACCCGAATGATCCGGTTCTTGGTTGATCGGTTTGTTTGTTGTTTAACGCTGCACTCAGCAATACTCCAGCTATATGGCGGCGGTCTGTAAATAGTCGAGTGTGGACCAGACAATCCAGTGATTAATAGCATGAGCATCGATCAACGCAACTGGGATACGATGACATGTGTCAACCAAGTCAGCTAGTCTGACCACCCTATCCCGTTAGTCGCCTTTTACGACAAGCATGGGTTGCAGATTATCAATTCTAACCTGGATCTTCACGGGTTGATCCGATTCTGTGAGGTACAGACAAGCGACTGCGGTGTGTAAAGTACGATGCCACCTGAGTTTACATACCTGAGAAGAGTCTGAGAAGCGGCACTTTATTGTTGACACTGTTTCCTGTTTCCGGAGTAATATTTAACCATGATTATAAAGTTAGAAAAAAATCTTCTAATTTATTTTCGAAACGAAACCAATCACAGTGCTAGGTTTCATCGCAGGATGGGAAAACCGTGAGGTGAAGTTGTTTGTAATCTTGAAATATCGTCGATATGAAAAATTATTAATGATTGTCGATATGAAAATTGGATTATCGATAATATCGTACATTAACTTTGGTGAAAGAAAAAAGGTTTAATTCTCTCACAAGATGCAATTTTAGGACTTTATTCGTGGTCTGCTTCTAAATTATGTTCAGGACGTTGTTTTGTTAATGATCCATGCAAAACATGTCACCGGGAACACCGAAAGCAGCAATGCTGAGAACATTGAAATCGTCACTGCCGAGAACATCAAAATCATCACTGCCGAGAGCATCGAAATTATCACTGCTGAGAACTTCGAAATCATCACTGCCGAAAACATCGAAATCACCACAGTTTCAGGCACTTGATGTAACCTCGCAAAAACATATCAGCAAGTGCCGAGTACCCATCTCAATACACTACGGTGGTATGAGAGAGACGTGTAAAGTGGATTAAACTTATTTGCATAACGCGTGTATAAGCAATGGAACGATGTACCGTTCCCGGTACAACGTGATAACATGAGTCCCGATGGATGCGTTGCTGCATAAACAAGTCTTTACTTACACATGTAAATACATATTACATATATACTTTATGCCATATGTGGCCATAATGGGTTGATACCAGGGAGCACCTAACCCAAATCACTGACATTATTGACGCGGTTGTTGTACCACACTTTGATGACCATCCTTTGAACACAAGGACCATGGACGACAATACAAGGCTACACCATACACGTACCGTTGGTAGCATCTCTACCTTGGCCCGCCAGAAATATAGATCTCAACCCCACAGAGCATGTTTGGGACATTATGGGTCGCTGAATATGTCAGAGATATCCTCCTGTACAACATTGTCTTGTATTGGAACAAGCTCTACACCAAGAATGGTACGCACGACCTCAACGTCAAATTCAACGCGTGATACTGTCATTGAGGAGGGTCAGGGTGTTATTGCAGTTGGAGGTTACACCAGATATTGACATTATGCTCTGTCATTGAGGAGGGTCAGGGTGTTATTGCAGTTGGAGGTTACACCAGATATTGACATTATGCTCTGTCATTGAGGAGGGTCATGGTGTTATTGCAGTTGGAGGTTACACCAGATATTGACATTATGCTCTGTCATTGAGGAGGGTCAGGGTGTTATTACAGTTGGAGGTTACACCAGATATTGACATTATGCTCTGTTATTGAGGAGGATCAGGGTATTATTGCAGTTGGAGGTTACACCAGATATTGACATTATGCTCTGTCATTGAGGAGGGTCAGGGGTGTTATTGCAGTTGGAGGTTACACCAGATATTGACATTATGCTCTGTCATTGAGGAGGGTCAGGGTGTTATTGCAGTTGGAGGTTACACCAGATATTGACATTATGCTCTGTCATTGAGGAGGGTCAGGGGTGTTATTGCAGTTGGAGGTTACACCAGATATTGACATTATGCTCTGGCATTGATACTAATGTGATTTGCTTGAGGACTGTTTGCCAGAATCTTGAAATGTTTTGCCATGTTTACTTCTCTGAATATTTATACGTTTAGGTTTGCCACTTAATTATTCCTTGACGGTCAATTTATCCAGATAGTAAGGTAAATTGCGGGGTTTGTTATTGTTAATGGTAGCATATTGATACTCTGAAACATATGAGGTGTCACGAAAAGTTTTCCTGGTATATATGTTATATATATTGTATCTGTACCACCATTGAATATGTACTGCAGCTCTATTTAGTTCTCTAGCTGACATTTCTGGGGATTTGTAAAATTGTTATTTGTGTAATATTTGTGTTGTTTGTTGGTTTCAGGCCAGATTGTATCACGGACAGATTCCGGGTTAATTTGTTTCAACTTGGAAATCGCCACGACACATTTCATAAGTAGTTTGGGGCGGTGGGGTAGCCTAGTGGCTAGAGCGTTCGCTCATCACGCCGAAGGCCCGGGTTCGATTCCTCACATGGGTACAATTTGTGAAGCCCATTTCTGGTGTCCCCCGCCGTGATGTTGCTGGAATATTGCTAAAAGCGGCGTAAAACTATAC